GGTATTTATAGACTCTTTTTCTTCATCTTAAAGCAGTCCCTTTAGCATATTTTGCAGTGTTGGTTTGGTGGAGGTGCATTCTTTTAGCCTTCTTTTGTCTAGGAAACTCCTTATTTCGCCTTCCATTTTAATTGAGAGCCTCGCTGGATAGAGCAGTCTTGGTTGCAGGCCTTTGCTTTTCATGACTTGGACCATTTCTTGCCACTCCCTTCTGGCTTGCCGTGTTTCTATTGAGAAGTCAGCTGCTAGTCCTATTGGGGCTCCCTTATATGTTACTACCTCTTTCTCCCTTGCTTGCTTTAGAATTCTCTGTTTGTCTTTGATATTTGCCATTTTAATGATGATGTGTCTTGGACTGGGCCTCATTGGGTTCCTCTTGAATGGGACCCTCTGTGCCTCCTGGACTTGTGTGACTTTTTCTATCCTCAGATTAGGGAAGTTTTCCATCATTACTTTTTCAAACAGGTTCTCTATCCCTCCTCCTCTTCTTCTCCTTCTGGTATCCCTATTCTACGGATATTATTATGTATCAGGTTGTCCCGCATTTCCCTCAATGCCTCTTCATTCTTTTTGAGTCTTTTTTTCCTTTTCTTTCTCGTTCTGGGAGATTTGTTCTACCTTATCCTCCAGCTCACCGATTCTATCCTCCGCTTCATCTAGTCTGTTTTTGATTCCTTCTACTGTGTTCTTCAGTTCAGAAACTGTATTCTTCATTTCCTGTTGCCTCTTGTTGATAGTTTCTATGTCCTTTTTCATGCTGATATTGTTTGCAGCAAGTTCCTCATCGTTTCCCTGTAGTTTTTTGTAATCCTCTCTGAGCTCACTGAGCTCATTGAGCTTCCTTGGAACCGTTGTTTGGAACTCAATATCTGATAGTTTACTTGCCTCTATCGCATTTAGTTCTCTTTCTGGGGATTCCTCCTTTCCCTTCGAGTAATTTCTTTGTCTTCCCATTATTTGTGAGACTCTTCTTTTTTGCTTCTGTGTCTTAAGCTGATCTGTCTTGATTTCCTGACTTTGTGGTGTGAACTTCTATGGTAGGAGACCGTTGTTTTTACTTTCTGGATCTGCCTCTGATGATGTCAGATGTTGTCCCTGTCTGACCTTAGGCAGTCTGTTTGAGACTTCCAGGAACCTACTGTCTGAGGCTGTCTCCTTCAGCTGTTAATCTAGTCACTCTGCACTCAGCAGGCTGCCTTAGACAGCTCAGGGTGTGGTGGAGTCCCTCCTGGGGGCGGGGTTATTGGATCCTCTCACGCTGCTGCCGTATGGGGGAGGAGTCAGCACTGGGATCCCGCCGGCTACTCTCTCCTTTCTCTCCCCAAAGCCTCCATGCCCAGTCTCACCTCAAGTGTCTCCAGACCTCTCTGTGTCCCCTTTAGCCAGGGATCTACTATCTCTGGCTGCCACTCTGCACTCAGCAGGCAGCTTAGACAGCACTGGGCAGGGTGGAATCCCATGTGGGTGTGGGGCTAATGGGTCCTCTGAGATGCTACCGCTCAGGGGGAGTGGTTTCTGAATGAGCAAGATGGCTGCTGCCTCATGGGGGATGAGTCAGCACCAAGATGCCGCCGGCTACTCTCTCAGTTCTCTCCCCAAAGCCTCCTTCCCCAGTCTCTCCTCAGGCGTCTCTAGCCCACTCTGCCCCTGCCTTTGCCGGAGACCAGGGTAAGTGGCTGCAAATACAAATGTAAGTGTTGCTCCTTTCGTCAGTTCTTTGCATCTCCAGCTGCCTGTCACTGGCAGAGAGCAACCTTGTCGCTTTTCGTAGCTGGAAATTTTGTGTGTATTTTTTGTGCTCTGGTGCTGTAGGCTAGAGAAGCCCACTTTTGTTTTAGACCCCTCTTCTCGGGGGGATCCAACTGGCCATTTCAATATCCTTCTGGTGTTGCGGCCCGTGGGCATCCTGCCTGCCTTCTCTAGTCTCTACTGCACTCCTTACCAGTTAGATTGGGCTAAAGCCAATTCTTCTGTCTCTGAGGTAGACAAGGCTCCTCTCTTGCTATTGTTGTTTGTTCCAGGTGATTTCTCCATAATTTAGTTGTAATTCCAGTTTGGTCCTGGGAGGAGGTCAGTGTGACTTCCACTCCTCCACCACCTTGATTCTCTCAGTCCATTTTATTTAACATTTAACTTTATCAAAATTAAAGATTTCTGTTTATTAAAAGATACCATTAATTGCAGGCAATGCTCTGTGGCAAGTGATCAAAACTGTCTGACACAATGATCTTGCTATAGCAATCTTGGCACTCTCCCTTCTATGAGACAAGCTGTTATAGAGACGCACAGTGTTTTTTTTTTTTTTTTTAAAGTACCATTAAAAGAGTGTAAAGATAAATAATCTCTACCCAGAATATATAAAAAAATCAGTACAGGTAAAAGAAACAGACTCTTCTAAATGGAGCTATCCAAATGCTAATGAATATGAGAGCCATTAAGGAAACTACAAAATAAAACCATAATATATCATCCCACCTACCGGAATAGCCGAAATTAAAAGATGCCAGAAGATAATTAACAAACAGGAATGTGAAGCAATTGGAACTCTCATACATTGAGTATACCTTGGTACAATTTTGTAAAACTGACAGTATCTACTAAAGCTGATGCATACCTTACGGATCAGCAGTTCTATTCCTAGGAGCCACCAAACCAAAATATACATTTGTACATACCAGAAGACAAGTACAATAGTCCCAAAAAAGAAAAAAAAAAAACACAAAAAACTCCATGTCCATCAATAGTAGATGGATAAATATTAAACCACCTAAAAAATAAAGTCTACGGTGTTAAAAGGTGGGGGGGGGTATGCTGGAGAGAGGTTTGAGGGGAGTTTGTGCATAAATTATATGCTCATGATACATACACTCCCTTTATGCATGTTATAGTGCTGTTTTTTTTAAAGATTAAGAACATTCTGGCCCTGGCTGGTGTGGCTTAGTGGATTGAGCGCCAGCCTGTGAACTCAAAGGTCACGGTTTGATTGCTCATCAGGGCACAAGCTGGGACTGCAGGCCAGGTCCCCAGTTAGGGGTGTGTAAGAGGTTACTGATCCATGTTTCTCTCACACATTGATGTTTCTGTCCTTCTCCTTCTCCCTCCCTTCCCCTCTAAAAATAAATAAAACGTTTTTGGTTTTTTTTTAAATGTTCTGTGACTTGGCACAGACTTACCATATGTGGAACCTTGTATCAGATAGAGTTTTTTCACTATTGTGGCAGGAATCCAATTGAAACTGGCCCAAGAGAAAAAGTATTGGTTTAAGTATCTAAAAAATACACATCCCCTACTAGACCGAGATTCAAAAGCAATCACTAGGTCTTTATCTTTCTCTCATTTCTGCTCTTTTGTGTGGGGTTTATTCTGTCGGGCAGTTGTACACATTCTCCAATGCAACTCTAGACTTACCTCATCTTCACTATTGGCAATACTAATGGAAAACATCATTTTAATTGACAAATCTCAGAACTGGCCTCGAGTGAGTCATATACTTTTCTTGGAGCCTGTGCAGTCCCATCTGAATCACTAGACTATGAGTAGTGAAGGGGTACTTTCCCAAGGGAAATCAAGGCACTGTTCCCAGAAAGGGGTGAATGAGTGCCAGAGGCAAAAACTTGTGTATCTGACGTAGGAGACAGAACCCTTAATTTGCAACTTCTTCATGAATTATGTCAAACTTAATACAGTTGACCCTTGAACACAGGGGTGAGAGGGTTAGAAACACCAACCTCCCATAGTCAAAAATCCGTTTAACTTTTTGATTCTCCCTAAATTTAACTACTAGTTGCTTACTGTTGCCTAATAACACAAATGGTCAAGTAACACATTTTGTATGTGGTTCAGTGGATTGAGTACCGGCCTGCGAACTGAAAGGTTGCCAGTTCAATTCCCAGTCAGGGTAAATGCCCAAGTTGCAGGCCAGGTCCCTAGTTGGGAGTGTGTGAGGCAACTGATTGATATATCTCTTGCACATCGATGTTTCTCTCCCTCTCTCTCCTCCTCCCACTCCCGCCTCGCTAAAAATAAATAAAAATCTTTTTTTAAGAATCATAAAAATACATTTAACATACTTATTGAAAAAACCTACATATAATTGGATTCACGCAATTCAAATCTGTGTGGTTCAAGGGTCAACTGTATATAGCTTGTTCTAACTAAAGCATGCAAGCTGCTTTGTGAGTCTCTGAACTGCTGGAAGAGCATAATCGACAGCTTCTTACCAGATCCCTTAGATCAGTCTCTCCCTTCTAGACTATCCTCTTGCAACTATAGTTAAATTAATCTTTCCAATACATGGTTCTAGTTATAACAGCTCTAACAAAGGAACCAAATTCTTTAAGTTGAAGATTTTTAGCTTGTTAACTCACGGTTTCCCATGATCTCACCGTTTTATAGCTTTATTATACTATACTACTCTCTCTGTGCATTCTGAGTCAGTACTTTTTAAGTGTTTGTCACTGTCACTGATCTATTTTAAAGTATTAGGATGAGATATTAATGTGTCAGTCAAAAGATACAAGCATTAGCTTTGTTACTTCTCCTTTTGGGTTTAAAGGTATATTATTAGAAATTTATTTGTAAATGCTAGATTTTATATTTAATATAATTTTTTCCTAAAAGTCAGTATTACTGAACTAAGTTTATCCTAAAAATAAAAAGTCATTAATGCTAAAATAAGTATGAGATAAATAGCACTTTTTAAATGGGAAGACCTGTTACAAACTATTTTCTTTGTAACATTCATCCTTTCCCCATGAGTAAACTATATATAGTACTTACTTTCAAATGGTAAGTTTAAAAAGACTTAGCACAGAGATTATAATTTCATTTTGATACATAAATGGAAGTTGTAGTAAACTGTATTTTATTTTTAGAATATATAAAACATGACATGTTCACAAATAAGCCACCTGGATCTTTAGCTAACTTCATTTCGGTTAAACGTCTCCATGTTTTCACACTTAGCTAAGACCGATTTATGTACACAACCAATTTACTAACTTGCAGTGGTCTCAGAATTAAAGTGATTTTTAATGGAAAAAAAGGAATTATGGCATAAATGACATTAGTTTTAAAAGAACATGAACTGAAAGTACAACCATATCACTATTTTTATTTTCATTGAAGCCAAGTATGCCTGAGCTACAAAGTTAGACAAGATGTGTATCTATCTATATTTTATACTTTAATACAAATTTCAAAACATAAAGCATAACAGTATTCTCTATGTTCAACTTCACTTAATTTTATCTGAAACACAGTATTTATAAAACAAATAGCTCCTGCAACAAAACCAACATTAGGAAAGTTGTTTATTTTTTAATGGTTATAATGGAGCTAATTTTCCTCATAAAATACCAAGATTTAGCACTCTTTGGGTTGCTTGAATACAACCAAGAACGTGATATTGATAAGTAAATAATATATATCAGTTCAAACATTTGAGATAAAAGGAGTGATTTTTGATTTAATCCTAAACCAAAAATGAATCTTGAAAATATAGTTTGCCATTTCTAACACATTCCTTTATGTGTACACACAGCATGTTCCAGGAAGTCAATCATCTTCTTTCTCAATGTATGTCTTTGCATTAACCCGTGCCATGTGCCTGGCTAAGTACCTGTCTCTAGCTGACATTACAGTTTCTTCATTGCTCCGTTTTGCAAACTTGCTCAGTGTCTCGTGTGATCTGTCTTGTTCTTTGCCAGTCTCTTGGCATTCCTCTGTGATTCTGTGTTTTGCTCCCAGTGATGTTTCAGAACCAGAGAGCTGCTCTGGGTTTCTTTCTTTGTCCTTTTCCATATTTCTCATTTTAGTGGATCTTTCCTGGTCAAGAAACCTATCCTTTGCCCTAGATTTCGGGCTGCTTTCCTTTCTGTCTCGCTTTCTTTCTGAAGATTGAACATTTACTTCTCGTTTTTCTCTATCTCTGTTTTCATATCTTTCTTTCCTTGCTTTCATATGTTCTTCCTTTTCTTTACTTTTCTCTTCATTCTCTCCTCCTTTCTCACTGTGTCGGTCATGATCATTTTGTTGCCTATCTCTTTCTTGTTCTCTTGTGGGATATTTCTCTCTGTCTTTCTCTCTTTTCCATTCTCTGTCATTTCTTTCTCTTTGGTCTCTTTCCCTCAGTTTATCTTCTTGTTCATGCCTCTTCCAATGAGAATCTCTATGACTGGCCTCTCTGTGTCTATGGGAATCTTTCTTTTCTTTTCGGTAATCACGATCAGTGTAATAGTTCTCCTGGTGCTTATCTTCCCTTTTCTCATGTCCCCTTGACTTGAAACTTTTTGTGTGGCTTTTGGTATCATGTCTTCTTTCTTCACTAGATGACCTTGAGTGGGTGTGATGCCTAGAGTCATTCTCAGAGGTCTCTGTGCTCTTTTCCTTTCTGCAGTTCACTTTGTTTCCTCCCGTTTCATCATCCTCACTGTCATTAGCATCAAAGTCACTGTCTGCATCTGGGTTTTCCTCTACTTTCACAACAGTTTGGAGAATGCATTTCTCCTGTATTCTGTTCTCTGAACTTACTTCATCAGAATAACCCCTTGATTTCTCTTCCTTTATCCCAGACCTTAAAAAATAAAATAATATACAACAATAAGCAAAAGAAGTGTTCATGATAATTTCCCTCAATATTTAAATCAATAAAACTAATTACATATGCTGATTATCAAGATGTAAAAAGCTGATGTCTATTTACCTTGTAAACATCTGCAAACTAGTATTTTCTAACCATTCAAAATACTTCCAATATTGGTAGAAGAAAATGAGCCCATCTGTACTGGACCACTAGAACCTTCAGGCAGAGGTCTGTGCTTAGCACAGACAAAGAATAATCAGGAAAAGAAAAACATATTCTGGACCTTAGTAGCATTTTTCACAACAGGAAGTTTAAGTAGTAACTCTTTGTTGGATTTTTATTATTTCTATAAAAATTAAGGAGAGTCCTGGTAATAGATGAAGATAAATTTTTTTCACAGCAAAATGGTGGCAAAAATTTAATTCTAAATATCACTAAATAAACCCTCTTATGATTAAAAAGGCACCAGCACCTAGATATATTCCTTGGTACCTGTCACAGCAAAATGGAAATATCTATTGAACTATTACAGTAAGCAACACTAAAACTGTTTGCATCATCTACATTTTCCCATCTGATGTGTGGTTAATTTATTTACATTACTCACATATTCATTCTTATCACTTACTAATCACACTAACAGAGTAACAACTATGGTTCTATAGGAATTGCTAGTACAACTGTCTTGACTAAATAATTCACCAGTAATTTGGAATTCTTTAGACTCTCAGAAGTGCAACTATTAAGTGACATGGAGTTTCATGGCTGGCCTCACAACTACTCCAGATGAAACTCTTAATAGAATGCTAATTTTCTATTCAAAACCTCAATCTTCAAATATACCTTCTTAGACTAGTTTCATCAATTTTTTAATCAATACCTAGCAGTAGGGGTAGAGAAGTATAACCTAATCCCCTCCCCTTTATTTATTTATTTAGAGAGGGGGGAGAGAGGGAGAAAGAGGGAGAGAAATATCAATGTGGGAGAGAAACATCGACTGGTTGGCTCTTGCATGCCCCTAACTGAGGACCTGGCCTGCAACCCAGGAATGTGCCCTGACCGGGAGTTGAACCAGTCACCCTTCAGTTGGTAGGCCTATGCTCAATCCACTGAACCACACCAGCCAGGGCTAAACCTAATCCTCTCTCTTACTACTTAATTCCATTCTCCTGCCTCTCCCCTTTCCCCAGGAACACGAGATCCTCTTATCTGGATACTTATATTCCCAAAAAGTTTACTTACATATGAGTTTATGATTAACTCTCCCTTTTACCTTCAGCTATATACTTATGGCATAATCATTTCACCATTCCTATTTAATACCTTAATTTTATTTAAAAAATCCTCTAATCCTTACTTTCTACACCAGTACTAACAGAATGTCTACATAAATGGTAATGTCTGTATCTGTGCTAATATGGTAGCCACTAGCCAAATGTAGCAACTGGGTACTTGAAATGTCACTGTGTGAACAAAATCTTAAATTTATTATTAAAGCAGCCACAGGTGAATAGTGATTATATATTGAATAGCGCACTTCTAGCCCAATATGTGAATCTTACTTTTTATGGGGGCTGGGTCCTAGTTATAAAAATAAACTATGTCTCTTTTTATGTACTATCTAAGTATGCATGTAGAATTACTGCAGGATAAAGATAATATTGAACTAAATCTGCAGGTTTTTAAATTAAACTAAATTCCTATGCATTCATTCAATTAAGTCAGGTCTGACTGACAAAACTACATGCAATGCTGCAGTCCTCTTTCAGAGGGTTAAAATGATCCACAACCACAGATCATGAATAGTATCTTTTTTCTAAATATTCCGTATGCCATGCCTCACCTAGCTTCACGAAAGCTGCATGTAGGTACTTCCTCTTCACCAACTGCTTGATTTAACAGATGCCTATAAAATCCACTGAGATCTTTCTGTTTGGTTACATCCAAACGTGCTAAGAGAGGGAAAGCAAAAGTGAGAATATATTCAAAAGGCAAAAATGCAGTTCAGTTTACAGATGTAGAGTATGTAACATACACTGTGTATTAACAATTCTTTAGTGTAAACTTTTTCTTTTTTAAAGATTTTATTTATTTATTCTCAGAGAGAGGGGAAGGGAGGGAAAACATGGAGGTGTGGTTGCCTCTCGCATGCCCCCAACTGGGGATCCGGCCCACAACCCAGGAGTGTACCCTGACTAGGAATGGAACCAGTGACCCTTTAGTTCACAGGCTGGCACTCAATCCACTGAGCCACACCAGCCATGGCTAGTGTAAGCTATTCTTTAGATCAAGAGTTGGCAAACTATAGCCTGTAGGCCAAATTTAGCTGCTGCTTATCTTTGTAAATAAATTTTTATTGAAATGTGGCCCTTTTCATTTGTTATGTATTGTCCAGGGCTGCTTTTGCTTTACAAGGGCAGAGGTGAGCAGCTGCAACAGAGGTCATGTGGTACACAAAGCCTAAAATGTTCATTATTTGGTCCTTTACAGAAAGCTTGCTGACTGGTGCTCTAGATAAACACATAGTACAGGTACAGACCAAGTCTTACAGATTTGGTTTTCGTCCACTTAAAATTGTTGAACACTTGCCAATTAAGCTGTTTGTAAGTATGTATTTTACTTAAATTTTGAGAAATGACCATTAGTAGAAAGCACTGAAATAAAGCACAATTTTGCTTGGCCTCTGCACATCTTTGTTCTTTCTTGAATTAATGTTATTCTTTTTCTAAATGCCCAGTAGATGCTCCTTGGGTGATGTTACTCTAGTTTTCTCATCCCAGAAAATATAACTAGGATTTAAATCTCAGTTCATACTGCTCTGACAAGTGTCATGGTATTATGCCCTGTAATCAATGTTTTTACACTGGAATTATTTTCCAAGGCAATGACTTGTAATGACCACAGTTTTAGGCAACCAAACAAGGTCTAACTGAAAAATCCAGTAGAAGTACTAGTTACTAAGAGTGCAACTATTTTTAGTAAAAATTTCCTGTTTTATAATTCAACATAATACTATTATCTTGTATGTTTAATTCTTGTACATAAATTATGACCACAACATTATAATCTAGAAGTTCAGTGACAGAGCAAATGGCTAACCACAAGGCAGAATTTTGCTGTTTCTTTCTACCCTCTCCCTCTTCCATTTCACCTTCAAGTGCAGCAGCCCTTTTTTCTCTTTCCTCCTCTTCAGCTCTCTCTTGCAGTTTTTTCTTATAAGCAGATGTCACAAATGCCTCTTTATCATCAAACTCTCCCTTTTCCATTTCTCGTTCTCTCTGTATTTTCTTTTCCATTCTTTTTTCCTGTTCCTTTTTTCTGATCTCAACTGCTTTTAGTAAGTTGTGAATATACTTGGGCTAGAGGGAAAAATAAATTTATTTAGGTGAGAGTCAAAGATAGTAATTGTTAATACTCTATTTTTATCATGAATTCATTAAGAAATGTCTAGTCCAAACTGGTAGGCTTGTCATCATCTCAAATATCAATACCAATTTATTAGCAAGATTGAACCTAGAATTCTTTCCAATAGAAATGTAAGATAAGAACTATTCAAAATGTTATTTTATCATTATTTTTTAAAATCTCAATCTAAATAGGTAATTTTCCCACTGTTTTTCTCACTCTATACTGGTATTGTCTTAACATTTCTTTAACACATAAACGTGAATCAGGAAGGTTCCTGCTTGTTTTTCCCATCAGTTGAAATATGATTTAAAATAATAGCTTTAACATAATGTTACACCATCATTTTATACTCTAAATGGATCCTTACAAATCAGTCTGTGCTTATGAAAGAATAGAGTGATAGAAAACCTGAACTTATTTTAATTCCCCCTACCCTTAATTTTTTTCAAACTAAAAATCTGATCATAATGTGTATAGATGATTCAGTTACCAGGTAGAGAGCCATAAAATATGAGAGAATGGCAAAATACAAACAAACATGCACAAGAGCAGAACAAAAACTTCCTAAGAAAAAATTTTCAAAAAATTTGCAAAGGCTTTAAAGCAAAACCCAAAATTTACAAAATTGTTAGATAATTCACTTGTTTCTGTTCAAATACTAAATGTAGAGCTTCCTGGGTTCTATTATATTTGGAGCTAGGGGCACTTCACACTTCAAATACCTAAAAGCTTTTTCCTAAATCATCTTCATGCTGAAATAAGATTGAGATACACAATGCAGGTCAAGGTCAAAGAACGTAAGTGTGTATGTTCTGCTACAAACCTTTCGGTCTTTTCCCAAAAGCAGTTTGGGATTATTTTCTTCCTTTTTTTTCTGCATTTCATCATAAATACTGTCATATTCATATACAGTGGAATCTTCTGCAAGAGCCTTCTGCATTTCCAGTTTGGTCTTAAAAATAGAAAATTAAACATGTTTCAAAATATGAAATAACAACACAAAAAAGTTGAAGTAATTACCTTGAGACAGGATCATAAATCAGAAATATATCATAAAAATTTTACCAATCACATTTTAACAGAAAAAATAAGAACATCCATTCTGAGCTTGGCTGCCTGAATTTGAATCCTGGTTCTATACTTAATCATTACTTTGGACAAGTCTATATAGTCACTTTGTGCCTCAGTTTTCCTCATCTAAAAACACAAGAATTGTATTTACCTTTAAAGTTGTTGTGATAATTAAAAAATTTATTAACCTTAAACCTCTAAGAATGGAGCATCACAGAGTGTTTAATAAACATTAACTATTATTATTTATTCATTTGTACACGAATAAAATTATCCATATCCACAGGTCAAAAGGTCCAAGGTTTACCTTAGCAATATCTAATCTTAGTTTTAGATGCCTACACTGTATTACATATGCTGATTATCATATGTAATATGATACCTACACTGTATTACATATGCTGATTATCATATGTAATGCTGATTATCATATGTAATGTGAAGCATATTAAGCTTCATATCATTTTTAAGTGGAGTTACCAAGTAAAATATTCAGTTTTCAAATGGTAGAAAATACTTTTCAAACAGCACCCAATATAACAGAAAAATGGGGATATTTTTATAATTACTATTTTTGCAATATAAAGTCCTCTGCCTTTGTTCATCATGTTCCTTCTGTGAAATGTTCATCCTCCTGCCTTCAGGCCATCAAAATCTTATCTACAGCATCAGGGCCAGATCAACCCCTACTTTAAAAAAAAGTATTTTTCAATTACAATTGATATACAATGATATGTTAGTTTCAGATGTACAATATAGTTATTAGACATTTACATCCTTTACAAAGTGATCATTCTAGTGAGTCTAGAATCCATCTGACATTATACAGTTAATACAGTATTGACTATTCCCCCTATGCTGTACTTTACATACCTGTGACTACCCTTTCACCTTTTCTCCCAATCCCCCATGTTCCCTCTCATCTGGCGATCATCAATTTGTGGGTATTTATCCAAAGAAATCCAAAACACTAATATGAAATGATATATGCACCCCTAGTTCACTGAAGCATTATTTATGATAGGCAAAATATGGCAGCAACTTTAGTGTTGATCAATAGATGAATGGATAAAAAAGGATGTGGAATATTACTCAGCAGTAAAAAAAATAAAATAAATAAATGAAATCTTGCCATTTGCCACAACATGGATGAACCTAGAGGGTGTTATGGTAGATTAAATAAGTCAAACTGAAAAAGAAATACCATATTTCACTTTGTGGACTCTAAATAAAAACAAATGAACAAACAGAAACAAACTCAACCCCTACCTTTTTTTTTTCCTTAAAGATTTTATTTATTTTTAGAGAGAGAGGAAGAGAGGCAGAAAGAAAGGGAGAGAAACATCAATCAGTTGCCTCTCATATGCCTCCAACTGGGGACCTGGTCTGCACCCCAGGCATGTGCCCTGACTGGGAATGAACAGGTGACCTTTCGATTCACAGGCCGGCACTCAATTCACTGAGCCATACCAGCCAGGGCATCCTACCTCTCTCACTCTTTTTTTAAAAAATGTTGTCACTATTACAATTGTTCCCCATTTCCCCCTTTTGCCCCTACTTTGGCCTTCACCACAATGTTATGTCTTCATGTGCTATGCATATATGTTTTTTGGCTAATCTCTTCCTGTCTCCCTTACTCACCTCCCCTCTGCGATCTCTCAGTCTATTCCATGTATCCATGCCTCTGGTTTTATTTTGTTCATCAGTTTATTTTGTTCATAATCCCTACCTCTTAAATGAGGCCCTCTCTGAAGACTTGCCCACAAGGATCTCTTTCTTTTGAACTCTGATGGCACATTCTATACTTCAATATTTAGCTTGTAATAATACCCTTGTTATTGTTTTTTAAATATTTCACAAATCTCAGTCTCTTGTCCTAGTTTAAAAGTTCCTGAGGTATACATGACACATTTTCACTTTTTCTTTAATTGTTACATTGCCTACTGCAATGTGGAATACAAGAAGGCTTTTTAAGTAATGGGGTGATATTATAATTATTCAAAGAATAGACCTGACATTCTCAGGTTTTTACATAGCAACGATTAGACTCTGGAATAATCTACACACTAACCTAAAATTTTTTTTCTGGAATATTGCTTAAGACATTAAAACATTTTTTAGTTTTTCTGTTTTTCAACATTTACTTTAACCTCAGAATAACAATGATTCCTCCTGCCTACATGGTGAATTAGCACTGCAACTCCCTCCCCAAAACCAACCTGGAGAACTCAAAGAGGAAAACATAGTCTAAGAAATAATCACCACCACCACAACAAAACACAAGGGAAAAGGGACACTATGGTTGTTATAAATTCATAATGTGCTTTTGTATTATTGGGAGTGTGGCCAGAGAGTACTTGTATAGATATCTTATTAACTTCAGTCTCAAAATAAAGCAAAAAAAAAAAAAAAAAAAAAGAAAAGAAAAGAAAAAAAAAAAAAAGAAAGAAAAATAGACTATTCCACAAACATAGTAGAGGATTTTAACATATGCCTCTCAGTAATTAATAGAACAGACAAAAAAAAAAATTCAGTATAAATACATATGAATTAACACAATTGGCCGAATGAAAACACAGAATATTTTTCAAGCACAGAAAGAATACTTATAAAAACTTTATTGGACCATAAAGTTAATTTCAACACATTTTAAAGATATGAAATAACACAACGCATGATCTTGGAACACAAAGAAATCGTGTTAGAAATCATTAACACAAAGGTAACCCTAAACCCCTATATGTTTGGAAATTAAGTTCTAAGTAACCCATGAGTCAAAAAAAGCAACCATAATGAAAAATATAAAATATTCTCAACTGCATAACAAAAATACTAGAGTTACCAAAATCTGTGAGATGCAGCTATATTAGAGTTTAAAGTAATATGTATAGTTTTAAAGACATGTATTTTTTTAAAAAGGGCTGAAAAACAGAGAACTATGCACTCATCTCAAAAAGTTAGAAACATAACAAAATGAACCCAAAGAAGAAGAAAATACTAATCTGTGAAGGCAGAAATTAATGAAGTAGAAACTTGTAAAATATGTTTATCATTAGCTTACTAAGATCCACTGTCTGGATAATTATAGGATAAGAAAAATTATGGGCCAATATCACTTATCATGCAAAACTCCTCAACACTTACACAAAAACCCTTAATGAAATTTTAGTAAACCAAATGGAACAATATATAAAAATGATAATACATTATGTCTGTTTTGGGTTTATACCGTTTATGTGAAATTATAATGATTGATTTTTTAAAGTTAAACTGACCTTACTTTATTGGTAGAAATCCAACATGCCATGAAGTTTTAATTATCCTTCTAATACAGTTCATTCATGGTAAAACAAATAAACACTAACGAAACTTCAAATCAAAGAGTAATTCCTTGACAAGAAGTTATCTACTGAAGACCTATAACAAATATTATATTTAATGAGAGCATATTAAAAATTTTCCCAATGAAACAGGGGATACGGTAATATTGTCATCATCAGTTGTACACCTGAGGTTCAGACAAAAGAATAAAAAGGAAGACAAAGTAGTTTATTAGATAAATAAGTACACCATTTCTAAGAGTATTCTTTTAGATTTAGTAAATGCAATGAAACTAGTATTCTTCATGGTAAGTTTGGGATTAAAGCAGAAGACAAGAGCTGAAACACACAAGTGGAGAATAAGATGAAAAGTACGTGGCATAGGTAGTAGAGCAAAGCAGCAGGGAGCAGGTGAGAGGTACAAGATGAACTGTAGCAGTATTTCCAACTTAAAAGCAAACTATGAAAAAATCCCATGAAACAGAAAAACTATGAAAAAATCCCATGAAACAGAAAAAGTAACTCAGAGTTAAGAATAAATTTAGATTTGCGATTTATGCTTTAAAGAGAATAAGAAAGAGTAGGACAAAAATATCAAAAGAGCACTGAAAAACAGACACATATACAACCCTCCAGAAGCTACCAGACTCTCTGGAACTAACTCCTTCATCTACATAGAAAAGAAGTCAAACTTGATGGTCTCTCTCAAATTCTATTGAGCTTTAAAATTTGGATTCAAACCAATTATTTATGTTAAATGATAGTGTTTTTTACATGATTTTTAATATCTCACTATGAAAGTAAGATACAGTCTTAAAATAACTAAATACACAATTCTGTGCCCATTCCCCAAGGTGGCAGTAAAACACAGTGGCTACAAGTTTAGGCTCTGCCAGTTCACTGCCTGTGTTGGACACACCTTAACCATTTACTAAATATGAGGCCTCATGAAAGTCACATAAATCCTTTTCGCCTTCATTTCCTCAACAACAAAATGGATATTATAAGAGCTTCTATCTTACAGAATTGTTGTAGGAATTAAAGATCATTCTAAGACTGTAGCTTATGCTATAATGACTGACATATAGGAGGTGCTTAACAAATTTATCCTATACCAAATTCTTCTTAGACAAGGGAAAAATAGGTACCAAAAATTAAAAGAAAATGTGAACAGGGAAATAACTGAAATTGAAAGTTAAGGTATTCTGACATTTTTTAATTTCATTATGTTCTGTAGCAGCTAAATCTAAGACACACTGGTGTAGCAGGAGAAAAATTAGTAAGCATTCAGGCTTACCTCTGTAAGTAACTGTGTGATTATGAGGGTTAATTTATCCTTTTGAAATTTCAGATTTCTTAAGACTATGAAGAGGTTTGTAAGAATTTGTAAAATAATATATGTATATGAAAAAATGCTTGGAAATATATAGAGCATTACATAAAAATAATGGTGCTAACAAGTCTATTAAAAATTATCTGACATTCCTCTTTCTTGGTAGGTGATTTTCAAAAATCATAAAATTGTGAAATCACTCTGGTTTGAAGAAAATTTTTTTTGGCAAGTAAGCTCACTAGGGGGAAATTATTAAACCATATAATCCACTGTCAGACTGCTAAGTCATCAGAAAGCAGAAATGAGTTTAATCTAAAAGACAGCAATAAAGAGCTAATTCTTCATTCTATTTTTTCCTTTAAAATTTATAAAAATGATATCTATGTCAATCAGGAAACATCTTAACATATTTTCAAAAACAAAGGTCAAGATAAAGTTATTTCTTTATACACACTTATTGTTTTGCCTCAGCACTTAGATATGAAAACTGATCATTAAAATTGTGAGCTGAAATACTTCCTTCACCAAGTGCATTTAACTCATGTTTCTGCCTTACCTGTTTCATTGCTTGCTTTTTAGCAGCTTCCCTCTGAAGGCTTTCACTCACGGAGGTCTGTAACACAGAAAAATACTGTCACTGTTTAATACTTCTTTTCCAACATTCTGGTTGGCAACTGGTTTCTTATTTTTAAAATAGATAATATTATGAATTAACATTATCAAAGTCTTTCCTCTAAACTTTTGGAAACAAATCAATTTTCATTGTAACTCATCATATTAGGTTATAAGTGTAAGGGAAAAAAAAAACAACCCAGAATAGTACAGGACATAATGAGGTAACATGGGCTCTTTAGTCCCATCTATACCACTAAGTCATTCAATTTCCATGGATTTGAATTGCTTTGTGTCCTCATATGAATGTGTCTTAGCCTGTGTGTATTAGCTGGGGATGGATAAATCCCTTCCAACACTATGGTATCATCCCCAGGAACAAAAATCACATTATTTTAATATTCACCTTTAAATACAGTATATCAAGCTCTTAGTATATACCTAAGGCTTATGGGCAGCCAAAACTATCTTAAGTTATAATCATTCAATAAATATGTACTGAAATGCCTACCATATCTTGCATTGTTCTAGTTCTTGATGATATTGGAA